CCAATGACTCTAAAACTCTGCTTAAGGCTTTCAAGGTCTACGTCCGTCCCATTTTGGAATGTGGATCTACTGTTTTCACACCCTATAAGAAAAAAGATATTTATGCTTTGGAAGGAGTTCAGAATAGCTTCACTCGTAAACTTATGATGCGAAGTCATCGTTTAAATTATAACGAAATACCTAGTGGAAGTGAGCGTGATAAGATACTCGGTCTAAAGTCTCTTGAATGGAGAAAAAAGAAATTTGACATACTTATGGCATATAAAATTTTAAATGGCATAACCCCCGTGGATATATCCAAGTTCTTCACAATCGTGTCTTCAAACACGCGAGGCTCCTCCGCTAAGATTTCAACCATGCCAGCAAGAACTCAAATTAAAGCACAGTTTTTCAGTAACAGAGTTAGATCTAGCTTCAATTCGCTTTTACGTCGTAATCTCGTCCTCCCAAATTATTGTACTTTCAAGAGATCCATTGACAAGTTCATTTCACTGAGTTGAGTTTATTATAAGATCCTATAGTTTGTTTTATTTCCTTTTTCCTTGGTTGTGTTCTTTTCCTCATTTCACATGTTTACAACATGTCCGTTAAATAAAAATAAATAATAAAAAATAAAGTAGTGTCTACCGCGGTTTACGGCTGAGCACAATGGGCGAACACTAAGCACCAAAATTGTTTATTTGGCAAATATACAAAAAAACAATGTCACGAACGGCAACAAACAATACAAAAAACGCTAGCACTGGCGAATACGCGGGTACCTGAAACACACAAAAAAAAGAAAGAAAGGTGCGCTGGACCACTCTTGGCGAATCCGTAACTCCCTCGAATCTGGTGTATCGGGTTTCAATAGCTTCCGTCCCCGCCCAAACCCCTTTAGCGCCAACGATAATTGACGCCAATCAAAGATCACGCGCACTAAAAAAATGCTCTACCTCACGCTCGTCAAGAACTCCGGGGTTCACGGCTCCTGCCGCCTCAACATAATCCTCTTCACTTTTTCTGGAAACTCATCCGACTCCGACTCGGAAAAATTTACAGTTCCAGCGCTGTCCACAAAGCACAGCTTTACGACTTTTCCAAATAGCCTCCAAAAAATTGAAATGGTAAATATGGGCTGGTAGTTTGCAGGATCGCAAAAAGAAGGTTCATAGGCAACGGCACAATGAATGAGTGCCTCCATCGAAATGGCACTTTAGAATGCATGCAGGACAGGTTAAAGAGTAGCTTTGAAGGGAAGGTGATCCAAGTTGCAACTCTTTTGATGAAGTTCACAGGGACAAATTCAGTTATAACTGACTTGTTAGTTATACCTGACTTCGTCCCTTTGAACAATTAGGCCACTGAATCAACAGCTCGAAAACTTCCTTTTTATGAAACCACAGTGACCATAGAAGAGCCATAGAAAAGAAGCTTGAGTGACGGAATATCATTAACTCATTGTCTCGACGAAAACATTATGAAAATATTTGGCAAGTATTTTTGCCTTTTTTTCATCAAGCATAGCAATATTGTTGTCAGATGCTCTTAACGTCGTTCTCGAAAGCACTCTGGTGGATGTATGTCTCCAATATCGCGATGAAATAGGTCTTATCTTCTTTCCAGATGGAATGGGCCGTTGAGTGTGATTTTTCTTCATGGGCTGGCCTGCCTTATATCAACAATGTCTGAAAAATTGTGTTTCGGAGTGTTTGACTTCTACTTCCTATTGTGTAATTTTCATTGTCTATCAGTTTGATGCTTGCTTGGCCTGATATGATTTGCCGCCACACTTACTCATTTTNAAATAGGTCTTATCTTCTTTCCAGATGGAATGGGCCGTTGAGTGTGATTTTTCTTCATGGGCTGGCCTGCCTTATATCAACAATGACTGAAATAAATTGCGTTTCGGAGTGTTTGACTTCTACTTCCTATTGTGCAATTTTCATTGTCTATCAGTTTGATGCTTGTTTGGCCTGATATGATTTGCCGCCACACTTACTCATTTTTATGTTCGTTTCAAAATAGTCTGGTTGGAGTTGCTTGGGATTTGTCGATCTGAACCTTTCCATCACTCCACCCATCGATTCGATCTCACAATTGTCCTATTCATGGAGTCGGTCTCATGGGGTTTTGGTCCCACAACAGCTAGAATCGTATGAGTAGTTTTCTGCTATCGTGTCCCTAGTTCTGAATTGTCTGAGGATCTTCACTGGAGCGAGAGCGCCGTAACCATCTCATGTGGGTGACCGCACATAACACTCTGTTTGTGGCTTCTACAAAATTTCGTTTATCAGCATTTTCAATCGTTTTCTTTCCAATTTATCACGTTTAAATAGCAATGTTCGAGATTCTTCAATCCAAGCAATTCAGAAGAGAATCAGATTTTTAGGTTCCTTCAATAGACGAGTTTAAGAAACATCGTAGTTATATCAACAAATCGGGAATAGTCATGCGGCATTCTGTTCACTACGTTTACTGACCGGATCCCTTGGGAAGGACCCTCTTAAAGCTCGATATCCCTTCAGACTTTCTGTGTCATCATGTAGATGATGACATATTTGATTGGCAGCACACCTTTATNTTAGGTTCCTTCAATAGACGAGTTTAAGAAACATCGTAGTTATATCAACAAATCGGGAATAGTCATGCGGTCACTTTTGTTCACAACGTTTCTGACCGGATCTCTTGGGAAGGACCCTTTTAAAGCTCGATATTCCTTCAGACTTTCTGTGTCATCATGTAGATGATGACATATTTGATTGGCAGCACACCTTTATTGACTTTTTGCCACGCCTAGCTATAGACAAAGAAGTTACATGGTTTGATATCTAGGAGAAATACATTTTCGATTTCTGGGATTTGATATTCTGTACAAAAGTCCACCCTCACTTCGGCTTGCATCTCGGCTATGTCAGTCAGTGGCATTTTTTAGAAAATCGCGTGTTACACAAACTAGAGAGCGAGATATTGCTTTTACTCTCTCCTCTGTTTCGATAAAAAGAGTAAGTAAGCTGAAGTACTGCAGCGAGGAAATATCACTTACATCTACAAATTACAGTTCAAATATTCATTACAACTTTCTAGAGGAACGCTAACAACATCATATATTCACGAATCACACTATCAAATAAAATAAAAGCTACAGAACCGTGCAAAAAACTTGAATTTGTGGTATTATGTCCTTGTTGTTTTCTTCTGCCGTTCTGCTCGCGATCAAGGATCAGTACTAGCAGCAACCACCGCCATACCATCCCCACGGAGACCCCCAGCCACCCCAGCCACCATAGCCACCCCAGCCACCTAATCCTCCAAATGGATAGCCCCATCCACCCCAGCCACCCCATCCAAATTGACGTTTCACTCGTAGTGACCTAAAAACAAAAGAAAAATCTTGAAAAATCATAAGTATTTCTGATGCGAAGTGATGCAGAAAAACTCACGCATCAACGGCCGGAGCTGCCTCTAATGGTGAGGGCAAGGAGAAGACAGCACTGACAATTAGCAGTAAAACGACTGTGCCTAGTACACGCATATCTCTGAAATGTGTTAAATGATGTGACTTTGCTAATTGAAAGTCTACCTATAACTTAAATGGTGTCATTGTGAAGATCACTTCGTTGAACCTTCGAATATTATGAGATTCTGGATCTGCGCATGTGTTGGGGTTAGAAATGGAGCCTCCTTCTCGATTTTATTCTACATTGGCAAGACCTATTTGATCTCGATTGATACAGATTGAAGAATTTCGCAGTGACTTATACTCTCGTTGCTGCAGTGCCAGTCAAAGTGAGCCTAGAACCTTAATGAGCGAGCAAGAAATCTCAACCGAGGTCCCACTACATGAAACAACTGTCATGTTGGCTTCCTCACTTACCATACATGCAATTATTTTTGTCACGTGCTTATGTGCTGTTCTGCTTTGAAGTGCAGCACAAGCTATTTCTGTGGTTTATCATTCATTCGTATCATAAGATCATTCGTATCAATGATATCATAAGTAAGCTAACATGATCGCGGGGTCGAAAATGTGAGGGGCGAATGTCTCAACCCATTCTTTTTGCACGATTTGGTCGGGGTCAATGACACCATTCAATGCAGCGTCTTTGCGAAGTACAATATTCCAGAGAGATTCAGCTCATGACAGCATAGCGACCGCAGATTTTCCTTACATGGCAATAACAGTCTTTGAGAGCCTGAAGGAAGAGGCCTCATTGGATCTTAATGGGTATTCTACTTGAGAAGAGAATAAAATTACCTTGGAGGTGATTACAAAGAAAAAAAGTGTCCTCCAAGAGTTTCACTATGAAAAAACAAAACGGGACTGAACGTTACCCAATTGTTCAGCGGAAGGAGTATTTATACAAAGCGAGCCTCTTTGTTCGCCGAATGTGAATTTCAGCTAACCCCTAGAAAAAACACTGACCCCCCTCTCCCATAAAAAGCAAGGTTAAGTTTTTCAGCGTCTCAATGCTAACCACTCATACAAGAAACAAGAAAATTAGTCATTGAAGCCCAAGCACATACATACATACATACATACATACATACATACATACATACATACATACATACATACACAGGTATATATATACAAACAATGATGCATATATATAAAGTACCTGCACACACATACAGCAATGGAACGTAGTTGTCCAATCATCGAATTCGAAACTTTTGGTCAGCTCCGTCAGTAGGATCACAAAAGCTCGTTCTGCTGTTAGAGGGAGGACTAATGAGAGTAATGATGGGGAAGCAAAAGTGACACTTTCGCAACGATTTTCGATTGGAAAATGGGCCTTATCCCAAGCTTCAATCGAAGATTTTTGCAAAAGTGTCACTATTGCTTCTATTATTGATTTCTATTATATTACGAACCTCAGTAACACCATGACCTCTGAGAACATGTTTGCTCGATATTCAGAGGAATCTGTCTAAAGGTCCCAGCTATTACATCAAATAATCAACTTCGTAGGCACGCTGCTCTACTGATCTGTATAAGTTTGCTACACATAATCAGTAGTAAATCATAGTCGTCGCCTTTCTTGACCGTACAGCCTGGCACATTAGCCAACACTGAATGACCAAGTTCTCGATGAATCTCGATGATTGAGTGTTGTAACGGNTTCCTTAACTTGTTCGCCGAGGCTGCTAACACTATTGGCCTTGCACTTAACACTGAAAACAACTTTTTATCGTACTACCTGTATATCTGCATTAAGAAAACCTGCTCTGGAAGAAGTTCACTCCACAAAGAAACTTTAGCAAAAACTATGGAAATCGGAGGTTTCTTAGGTCTGCATCGAAGTCACTTGAGTATTGTAATGCACTCGTGATGCTTTCAGACGTCATTTGAAATCAGAGACAGTCTCTTAATCTGTCTTCACCAGTGCACTGTCGATTGAAAAGCGAGGAGGTGTTACCCAATCCATCGATCAGTTTTACAGAATCAAAGTGAACTAAAGTTCGATTCCTTCAAGACTGCTTGAGTTAATACTTTCACGGTTGCGACAGGATTTTCCTCTATCACTAATCTTTTCGATTTTTCACTACATTCTTTGTTTCAGTTTTACGCTTGGACGAGGTGGGTCATCATAAAGCAGCTGCTGTCTCTTTGTTGCCAGGTCACCTATAAATGCAAGTCAATTTTTCCGCAGTCAGCTAAGGAAGGGGTCACGTCGACGTCGAAGAATCAAAATGAACCTACTACTGAACAACATTAACGTAACCTTTGTTGCCTTTGGNCACTTTTGAGCTGAACTTCGAAATATGTTGGTGAGGTAGGCGGACCTACACCAAGAACGGCGTAAAGCAATAAGTAGACAAGAAGCCGCTTGAGATGATCTCACTCCAATGGAATTAGGCACACCTTATTAGGCACACCTCGAATCCACTTCGTGAATCAACCAATTTGAGTGGAAATAAAAAACTGAACTCTTGCCTCCGTCTGGCCTGTTTATGTCAATGCAAACGTGTGATGGCCATTGCTGGAGACTAGTCTAGGTGACAAAAGCACATGACAGCAACATTGTGTCATTGTTGGCAGCCATCTTGAAGACTGATTATCACAGACACGACAACTAATGGGAACGACTGAGCGAGTGTAAAAGCGTGAAATTTCGTTAGTTAACAAAGTTATGATGCCCGAAAAACGTCGCTGAAAAACGTCTAAAAACTGATCACAAAAAACTGCAGTGTAAGTGCAGTCTAAACTTTTGCCTCTATGCCAATATAGAATAATCTTTTCTTTTCTTTCTTCGGCGTCAATCACCCCATCTGAGGGATGCCCCCATGCATTCGACTTCCTTTCATAATCGTAGCGGCGTAGTGAATGCGTATGTGGCCTATACAATGATTTGCAGTGGCCAGCCAATGTAGAAATCAGTGCTTTTTACCCTCCCAGACGAGTCTGATACCAGTAAACCGACCCAGGAAGGGCGAAGGTCGGCTGGCTTAGGCGGATATCGATCCAGATATAATAGCTATGCTATACTTGAAACAAACCACTGAATGATCGGTACATGGCACAGTTGTGCTGATCGTTTTCAAACACACAGGTAAGCAACGTTACTGTAGCTCAATTTTGGATTTCTCTAGCATATAGGAACTTTGTGTTGACCTGGCCAGAGCTGACACTGGTCTATATTCCTTAGGCTCTTCAACTAGATTCACTTCTGCAGATCGCGCTCTTGACACATATTTTCCATAGGCTTACAGCAGTGCTCGCCAGTAGTTCACAATCAGCAGCAACGCCAAAACGCTATACTTTATGTGTAGCAATATCCGAGTCAGGCATTATACGGTATTCCCGAGTGAGTTGGATTTACTGTCAATTCAGATTGATAACAACCGCCCACTTGCGACTGCGTTGACGTAGGTCGTCCTTTATCTGAACAATTCAGCACGCTTAAAGGCACAGTTCACGTTAATTTTGGGTAATCCAGATTATGATGAAAAATGCAAGACAAGATCGAAAATAGTACGACTGAGGTGAAGAAACTGCGTGCATCGGTGTTTCCAAAGTTAAAAAAGGTTTCCAAAAACCGTTTAAAAGGGGCTGGACGAGAATGAGACCAGGAAAATGAAGAAGAGTGGGGCGTCCGGACGAGCTAAACAGTGTGTTCCACTGCGCGCGTGTGGGTCCTGGTGCGAATAACGGACAATGGTAAGCGAAAATTCATTCACTTATAAGCATAATTAAACAAAAAACCCTAGTAACAGCGAAAGTAGCTCACCTTTTTCAGCCTCTAGGAGTAGGAAATTAAATGAGGCATCGCGGCAACGAAAAAAATCACAGAGGAAAAAAGAATGGGAGAAAAACATCGCCTAACCACTCAGCGATCGGCTGATTGTGTGTGGGTCCTAGAACGGACAGTTGCAAAATGTACTGTCTCAACACTCGTCTAACGTGACGTCGATCGAGGGACGTTAAAACCAATTACGGCTGCAACAGGGCTTCCACTACGCCTTGACCGCCGAGATTGTGGGAACGAAAGGGTCCCTTCTATCACCCTTGGGGAGCGCTGAGCATTCTTAGAGTAAGAACTCAGTAACCTTTTTTATCGTGAACCGTGCCTTTAAGGATGACCTGATAGGAACTACTCCTAAATCAAAGCCAACATGCATAGATAAGTTCCATTCCAACGTCGTTATGCTTTACGAACCCAAGTGATGTTACTGAATCACAAAAGCATCAGGGAAAATCTGAAATATATAAAAAGGAAGTCAATTTCAGAACAAACGTCACTCCATTTATTTTTTCTTGCAATATGCATGGTTACTGAAGTAAAACTCCCGACATATTCTAGAGGTTAGCCGAGGTTCATTCAGTGGCACTCGCAATCACTGGCATGCCAGAGGCGGAAAGACATTATGAATTCATTGTGAAATCCCTTGTGATTCCTACAATATCCGTCCAAAAGGCTGATAAACGATACAGAGACGAACATTTAATCGCAGAAAAACCACATTATAGTCGTTCCTATCGTATGCAGAAATGCCGCTTTACTTCCAATTTCAGCAGGTCGTGTAGGGTCAACAAATGCAGAAGGCTGCTAACTCACTTGAGTGGAAACATGCATCCCTTCATCGTTTCCTTTTGCTAATAATTCATACGAAAAATTTATCCCAAACAAATAAACCGATTAGGTTTTGGCTAAAAACATTTAACAAGCAATTTTTCACAAAAAGTTGCTATGTGAACAGCAAAATCATGTTTTATGAGGGAGTTAGTGGAAAGGGTAGCACGCTCATGGTTTTGTTGGTGCCGACGTAAAAGTCTCAAAGAACATACTGATGCGCGCATTTAAGAACCGATCCGACTCCGCTTCCTGGAAGAGCTCCTAGTCCTCTCAGCAGGAGGATTGCCCAGCCTTCAGAGTCAAGCCCGCCCTAGAGTTGTGCCGATGCCAGCTGCCCGACTTTATTAGCAAAGAGGAATGGCCATTCTACTTCCCAAATCTTTACTCATTTGACTCCTTCATATGGCTCCTGATGAGAAGGAGACCTGTCTGGTTTGCAGTGCCAGATTGGAGT